AACCCCTCTAAACATCCATGCCACCGCCAGGATTCGAATCTGAAGCCGGTGGCACCAAAGGCCAGAGCGTTTGTCAATTGGCCGCTCGGCTGCTTACGGCTTAAAGAATAATTTAATTTTTTCAAATAATACTAATTTATTCTGTGTGTTAATTGTGTAAAATCCAAACTGAAAATAAGTTTTGATTATATAAAATAACTATACTAATATTAATTATTCTGTAATATAGAATAATTAACAATTTTCAAAACTTGAAGTTTGAAATACAAAAGTCTTTTTTATGCATTATATTTTAATTTAATTAAATATAAGAAATAAAATTGATAAATTAAATCTTTATAAATAAAATAAAATGCCAGTGATAACTATTTTGTATTGATTATTGCTTTCATGTAGGAATAACAGCATATTATAACATGTCAACATAGCTTTAATTATCCATAATGTCTGGAAAACCTCATTGAAAAATAAAGAATATATTGTTTTTTTTTTCTTTGTTCTTAGAAAACTCAAAGTTGTCTTTTAGAACAACTTGTGATAATAGGCTTCACTAGGAAAAGAAACAAACTTATCAGTTCATGTTGCTAAATTCTTATCTATTTCGATCACGTGATAAAAGAAACAAAAACAAATTTCTCCAATCTCAAAAATACGCTTTCGATTTAAATACAATAATTGACAGCTTTTTTTTTGTTACAAAATATTTCTTTACAGTAGATGTTTTTTTATTTTAAATTGGCATACACCCACGTATTCGTACATTGAGATTCAAAATACATATACACCCCATGTATACCCACATATTCATATACTATTGTGCCCAAAAAGTAAGACAAATTTTTTTTCAAAAAATCTCTATTTATTCTTCCAAATTTATTTCATCGCCTTCAAAGTAATTCCCTCCGGACACAATGCACTTATGGCAACGTTTTTTCCAATCCTCAATGCATGCTGAAAAGAAAAGGGATGGCCTTCAAATCGCGCGGCGATTCACGTTGAATCTCTTCAATCGACTCAAAACGGTGTCCCCGGAGTGGTCTTTTGAGTTTATCGAATAGCCAGAAGTCGCACGGTGCGAATACGGTGGTTGTGAACGATATGGGTTTCATTGAACTGTTTATACCTTAACTTCTTTGAACTGTTTATACCCCTTCTAAACATATCTTTCCTATATAGGAATGCTCACCGAATGCCTTCTGCAACATTCTATACGTTTCCACAAACAAAATTGAAGGCAAGTTCTTTGCTCAATGAATTCAGACATTTCAAAAATCGCCGGAATCAGTTTTAGCGTCTCACAAAGCCAAGCGTGACTCAAACACTAATGCATATTTTGACGCGAAATTTCACGCCGATGTCAAAGACAGGGCCAGCAACCGAAAAAAAAAAAAAAAAAAAAAAAAAAAAAAATTGAAATTCCGTAAGCCCCGAGAAATTTAAATTGAAAATCGGTATTACTTTTTGGACACAGTAGTATAGTAAATGATTGTGTAATCTGATCCATATTTAAAACCATCTCTTAACTAAACTTGTTTTCCATATTAAAAGTAATAATAATAATGATAATAAAAATAACCTCGACTCATAATTTTTTAACAGCTGTGTTTGGCATTTACATGAAATGCTCTACGAAATATTTTCTTGATTTTCTTTTGCTTTGAAGAACAACTCTAAACAACTTTGAAAACTAGGCCATTTAGAAATTTACATTAAAAAAATACCAATAATTATTACTAATATTAAAATACCAATAAAATACTAATGATAATTTAAATGTGAAAGAGAAAAAAAAATAAATAAATAAAAAATGGGATGAAAAAGTTTCTTTATCTCTCACTTTATTATTAACTAGATTAAATAAAATGAAATAATTAAATCGGGATTTTTAATTAAAGAGAAAAAATACTGAATGGCTGTAATAATGAAATGATTTTGCCCCGAATAAAACATAAAAATAAAACACAATAAAACAAATAAAACATAAAGAAATCGAATTAATTATACGTTATAAATTTTTTTTATTTTTATGAAAATATTCACTGTGAAATTTTACGTTCAAATTTTTTTCACTATCAAATTTCATGAAAATAATCACGAAATTATGTATGATATTGCTATCATAAATATCGACCATACTTGCAATTTAACCAAATTATTTGGAATAAATTCATAAGCAATTTTCTTTTGTTTAAACCGTCTATTGATAAAATGAAAGCTCAAAAATTATTTTTTTTTTCTAATTAAAATATTCATTTTCTTAATCAATAACAAAAGTAAATAATTAATTATTGAGGGTTTCAAATCAATCAATTTCATATTCCTTATAACTCGGATTCAAATATTATTTATTATTTTTCAAATGCAATTTATTTACTAATTTTATTTAATTAGGCTTATAAATGTTTTGTTTAATTGGGTTTTTAAACATGAACCTAATAGTATTAATCATAAGCTGATTAGCTTAATAGTATTACTCTGTTAAGCTTGAAAGTATTATTTTGAGATTAAAAGTCGGAAATAATAGGTATTCAATAAAAATATGTAATTTTTATTTTGTATTTTACAATTATATTATCGATTTTCTACTATTTTACAATCATATTATCCATTTTCTACTATTTTACAATTACATTATCCATTTTCTACTATTTTACAATTACATTATCCATTTTCTACTATTTTACAATTACATTATCCATTTTCTACTATTTTACAATTACATTATCCATTTTCTACTATTTTACAATTACATTATCCATTTTCTACTTTTTACAATTACATTATCCATTTTCTACTATTTTACAATTACATTATCCATTTTCTACTATTTTACAATTACATTATCCATTTTCTACTATTTTACAATTACATTATCCATTTTCTACTATTTTACAATTACATTATCCATTTTCTACTATTTTACAATTACATTATCCATTTTCTATTTTACAATTACATTATTTTTCTACATTTTACAATTACATTATCCATTTTCTACTATTTTACAATTACATTATCCATTTTCTACTATTTTACAATTACATTATCCATTTTCTACTATTTTACAATTACATTATCCATTTTCTACTATTTTACAATTACATTATCCATTTTCTACTATTTTACAATTACATTATCCATTTTCTACTATTTTACAATTACATTATCCATTTTCTACTATTTTACAATTACATTATCCATTTTCTACTATTTTACAATTACATTATCCATTTTCTACTATTTTACAATTACATTATCCATTTTCTACTATTTTACAATTACATTATCCATTTTCTACTATTTTACAATTACATTATCCATTTTCTACTATTTTACAATTACATTATCCATTTTCTACTATTTTACAATTACATTATCCATTTTCTACTATTTTACAATTACATTATCCATTTTCTACTATTTTACAATTACATTATCCATTTTCTACTATTTTACAATTATATTATCCATTTTCTACTATTTTACAATTACATTATCCATTTTCTACTATTTTACAATTATAATATCGATTTCTAACGATATTTAGATAACAAAGAATTTGATTGGTTTAAAAACGATAACGATTATTATTTAATTCTATTTCGTTTTCATTTTAAATGCAGAACATTAAATTTAAAACTTAAAAATGATATATTATGCTTAATTAAAATAAGAAGTTAAAAATACTCAAAGTGAGATAAAATTTAAAATAAAAATGAAAATTATATTTCGTTTATAAAAATAAAACAGAATGTTTCAATTACAGAAAGGAGTTTCGATGTAGAGGAAAAAGAAATCTGAGAAATATCGATTGAATTCATCGATTAATCACGAGGACATCAAAAGGAAAAATTACAGGTACTAAACGTAAAAAATAAACTCTTCGTGATTTGAGAAGGGAGTATTCGAAAAAGTGATTCACGAAATAATAATTATAAAATTTAATTTGGAACTTTAGTCAGAATTTCCGCCAGATGGCGCTCCTATTTAGATGCGGAACTAAGAACACGTATGAGCAGTGGAAAGACTTTTCACCGTTAATATACGAATTTGAAAGTGGAAATTTATTTATTTTGAAATCGAAATAACTTCTTTATTTGAAGTTATATTTCTTTTCTTGAAAAAGGTAATTATTCTATTTCACCCGTAAAATACAATTTTCTTTCGTTATTTGATAGTAATTATTACCAGAAAAAATAAAATAAAATAAATAAATAAACTTTCGTGTTAATGAATGGATTCTTTTTTTAATTTTGGGAAAATAAAAATAATAATAGAGAGTTTTTGCATACCGTACGTTAGTTACCGTAGGACGTCCGTTAGCTTTTTCTCCCTAGCACGCATGCTCAGTTTCCTATGAGCATGCGCGCTAGGGAGAAAAAGCTAACGGACGTCCTACGGTAACTAACGTACGGTATGCAAAAACTCTCTAATAATACTAATAATAAAAAAAAAAGATTGGCTTTCGAATGAAGTGAAAGGTACATTAATAAAATTTATTTAATTATTATTTTTTTTTTTCAAAGGAATAAATTTTCATATCATAATTACACATTACGCAATATTGAGTAAATTATCTATTGTTTTATTGTGGTTATAATCCAGAAAGTTAAATAGAATTTTGGAAAAATACAACATACAAAATAGATATTAATTGTTTCCGATGATGTGAAGTTATTATAGATTTTATATTGTCAAGAAATATAAAGAAAGTGTTGTTGTTGTTTCTTATCCCACTTGGCTGGCCAAGCCCACGAGCCCATATGGACTCATGATTGAAGGGGAAGGAAGCAGCTTCTGTTGTGATGGAGCACCCCGTAGGTAGAAGCCTGACTTTTTCTCCGTGACGCTCTTACAGTCATAGAAGACCGGGACCTACGGCTTAAAGTGGATTCCGAACCACTACAAACATCCATGGCACCGCCGGGATTCGAACCCGAAACCTGTGACACCGAGCGCCAGAGCTCTAGACACTCGGCCATTCAGGTCCCAATTTTGCCAACGGCACGCAGTGTTCCCAGGTGGTCACCCACCCAAGTACTGACCGCGCCCAATGATGCTTAACTTCGGTGATCTAACGAGAATCGGTATATTCAGCATGGTACGGCCGTTGGCTATAAAGAAAGTGAAATATAATATAATATCAGAGATTTATATTCTTTATAACTTTCTTTTTTTTTAGAAATTAGTTTATGGTTTGTGTTATAAAGTCTTAGATTGCTTCGTTGTCAACTTAACAAACTAATTCTAACGATTTTTGCTTTTGATTACATTATATATATATACATATATATACAGTCCAGTCACATTAATGTGACCACCTGTCAAAAGCCAATTCTGATTATATATATATATATATATTATTTATTTTCTAAATCATTTAAATTAACAATAATTATTAAAATGTACATTGTGTGTGAAATAACCGTTTTGATTTTAAAGGATTAAAACTTTACCTTACCATGTTAAAATCATCAATTTTATGTACCACAATGGTGTTAAATATGATCAGGAAATTTTTATGGTAGTTAGAATAGCATGTTTTATATACTTTAATATACCATTCTGCTTCTGAATAAAAATGAGAAATTATTATTAATTATTTATTGAAGTACACTTTTAAATTAGCATTTTTGGTAAAATATCTGTGCCTAAAATAAATAATTCTTAACAAATCATCAATTCTTGGTGTTAAAATATGTGATACACCATGATATAAGTGTCTTTAAAAAAACTGAGTTCACAAACCTGAAAAATCCAGTTCTTGATTTGGTTTAGTTAGTCACTCTACGGTCATTTTCTGCACACTTTGGACTATTTAGATCGAGACCTACTGTTTTAAGTGGATTCCGAAGCACTCACAAACATCCATGCCACCTCCAGGATTCGAATCTGTGATACCAAAGTATTATAGAAGAGCTTAATAAGAGCGAAAGAAAATTGTACATATGTGTACAATTTGTATAAATTGTGCAAGTATTATATTTGTACTTTAAATCTGTTTTTTTTTTCTTCTTAATAATAGAATAGCTTCTATAAGATCTTTCATTGTGGATTCAAGGTAGCATTTTATAAGCATCAATCTGAAAATGGCAGGATTCTAGCCAGGATTCGAAACTGAAGCCGGCGGCACAAACTGCCATTTGGCCATTAGGCCGTAAATCCAGTTCTTGAGAAAAATGCATTTTAAGATTAAACTAATGCTTTTATGTATGATGAATTACCTACATTTAATAAAATCCTGTTTTGTATGAAGGATTATCACTTTCTTCTTCCTCAAATGTCTCTTCTAGTTTTCTTTTTTCATTTTTATTTCTTTTTCTGGAGTTTTTTTTTGTTGATATTTTGATAGTTTACTCTCTCTCTGTGGACAATACGTTATCTATACATATTCCATATTTTTAACACAGTGGCAACCAGGAGGAATTCCAATCTTGAATAAAGTATGGCACTTTACAATATTTCCTACATTAAAGCAAAAAACAACATCAAAAACACCAAATTTTAAATTTCAATGTTTACAGTTGTTGGTACACGTGTCCAAATGACACTGTTCAAAGATTCATTAGGATTTTGAATTTTCAATTGGAGGCTCAGGATTTGCCAAGTCTCTAAATATAGGCTTGCTGACTTCCATTATGGGTTTGGTTTGTCGCTCTAGGTCATTTTTTACACACTTTGGGCTAATTAGATTGTGATATAGAGTTTAACTTGAATTCCGAACCAATGACAAACATCCATACCATCGCCAAGATTCGAACCTGAAGCTTGTAGCATCAAATACCAGAGAGCTAGCCTACTGACCATCAGGCCGCCTTCCATTATTGGAAGTGGAACGCGAGTATGCTTGGTGTGGTCATACGTTTCAACTTGCTCGGGCACGATAATTTAGTGCGTAGGACAAGAATCGAGAAATATCAGCTCGATTTGATAGATGCTTTGAGAAAGAAATATCAATGAAAAAAGAACAATAAAACAGTTAATAACTCTAAAAAAAATTGTTGCAATTAACTTCATAGCTGTTAATCGTAACAAAACATAAAAGGTTTAACAGAGATAATAATAAAAGTAGAGCATTAACTAAGGTGCGAAGTGATTAGTTAGTCATTTGCCAGCCATTGAATGGCCCATAATCTGTAAAATGCGTCAAGAAAGAATGAAAAATTCAAATATTTCTGTTTAATAAGCATGTATGATACATCGTTGGAAAGCTAAAATTTCAAACTATTTAGTGATGTAAAAAAATAAAAAGTAAAAATCGTTTTGGTAAAATTTCGTTTACCTGGTCCCCTTAAACCATTCGCTACTAGAACAGCAATTTCGCCCGCCTCGTGGCTTAGTTGCAACGTGCGCCACTGATGAGCATTAGGGCGGAGGTTCAATCAGATGGAGGATTTGTTGCAGACACTGTTTCAAAATACGAAGAGACTCGATGGCGTTTGAGATGTTCAGCATCTTGCCACGTGAGTCGTCCTACCTGATGGGAGTTTTTCTGGTTTTCGCTCATACGAAATCCACACGCAGGATAGTTCTTCCTAAATGCCCCCCCCTCCGAAGGCGTTGCCCTCCTTCTTCATCGACACGGAGCGAAGTCAGACTTCTACCTAACGGGTGCTCCATAACAACTGAAACTAAAACCCTCTTCCCTCCTTCTATGAGGGATACGACAATAATAACAGCAGATTCAGCTTTACTCAGAGTGCACTATGGATGGCCTGCTACGTTGAAGTTTCACCAAAATTCAACGAACATCCCATAGGGATGGTATATGGTCTTCACATCTTCCTCGCTTCGTGTAAATGATGATCTTTTCGGCTTATGTTCCTCCTAGCATAAACATTTATTTATAACTTTCATATCAGTATAAACACGGATGTTTTCGGTTTTCGTATTTGTTTTCAGGGTTTTGAACCAGAGTTCGTTCGAAAAACGAAGCCCACCATGCGCACCCACTCTAACCAATGTCTTAACAATGAAAATATAATTTATGACAGAAAAAGAAAATACCCGGAAAACAAATTTTTCAATACACTTGCAGTGCACGAATAGTAAAAAAAAAAAAAAAAATATTACTTAAAGACTAAAACAACATTGATATATTTATGTGAGCAACAACAACAACAAACCTGTTTTCTTATACGAAATTGAAAGAGTTAGGTTTCCACATACTGAGTAAGACATTTTTTTTTTCTTTCTAATGTAGCTGGCAAACACATTAGACAGCTTGATCTTGGATGCCTTAAGGCAAGCGCTGCACAGACATACTCACTTTGCATTACCCAGGGGGCGCGTGTAACTTGAAGATAAGCCACAGACGCGGAGTCACAATGCCCCCGCAACGCTCTACGATCCTATTAGACCGGGACCTACAGTTTAAAGTGGATTCCAAATCACTACAAACATCCACGGCACCGCCGGAACTCGAACCCGAAACTTGTGGTACCGAGCGCCAGAGCGTTAGCCTCTCGGCCAATCAGGCCCCTGAGTAAGACATTAATTTGATAATTTGGAAGTTGTTCTTATAAAAATAGAATGGGTTTTTTTTTGACAGCAACAGTCACATTAAAGTTAAATTTTAAATCATAATATACATCCATTTATTTAGCGAAATCCCAAATTAACAGATTTGATGCGAGAGTACATCATCAATGCAACGGTACCCAAAACGTTTTATTTTCTTAATATCAATTTGCATTCAGATGAAATCAATGGAAAGCACTCAAGCGAAGGCGAAAGAAAAAAGACACATTTTCAACTTCTACTATCAGAAACTGGTTTAGTTTGAGCCGGTATCTTTTTTTCTTCTTGGAACTACGAGAATAGATAAATGATTAGAAGCGTAGATTTATTTAAACTATTACCATGTTATTTAAGTACAGTTTTCGATAAATCGCAATTAGAATGTATTGTAAGTTAGAAATTACATTAATTTAGAAGAGCCAATATTCGAAATTTTCTTCATCCGTTTAAAAATATTATGTGATGTTTCATGTAGGTCACTCTTAGTAGTAATGTCAACTTTATTATTTGTCGTTTAAACGTATTGGATGAATTGTGCGAACGAACCACAAAGGAATTTGTCAAAGCTATTGCACATGCTGTGCAATAAATCTCTCAAAATTTGCAGCGAGGTTTTTTTAAAAATTTGTTTTTTTAAGTTCACACACACACACACACACACAAAAAAAAAAAAAAAAAAAAAAAAAAAAAGGAAAATATAGCTAGCACTTATTTTAATTGAAATATTTCTGCTAAAATTAAAATTCTAAACTTGCTATACATTTTTATATGTAAATAATTAAATTTAAATGATTCACCACATAATATGCATATACTGCGGAACAATGTGAATTATGACTTTTTTTCATGCCCGACTCGCGGCTCTGTGTCAATGCGCGCTGCTGGTGAGAGGTAGGGCGGAGGTTCAATTCGTTGGTGGCTTGGTTTTAGACACTATTTCAAAAACTGAGGAGCCTCGACAGCGTTTGTGATGTTCAGCATCTTGCCTCGTTAATCGGCCTGCCTGATCGAGTTTTCCGGGTTTTCTCCCATACGATATGCAAATACAGGGTAGTTCCCCTGGCAGTCTGATGGCGGAATGGCTAGCGCTCTGTACCGCAGGTTTCGGGTCCAAATCCCAACGGTGCCATAGTTGTTTGTTGTGGTTCGGGATCCACTTTAAGCCGTAGATGCCAGTCGTATGACCGTAGAGCGTTACAGAGCCCAATCAGACTTCTCGCCCTCATCATTCCTAAACTGTTAACGGACAGCTCAGTTCTAGACACAGTAATGTGCAGTAGTAGAGTAGTTTTCAATAAATTCCTCGGGAAGGTAGAGCGTCCTTCTTCAGCGATACGGAGCCAAGTCAGTCTTCTACCTACGGGTGCTCCATCACAACAGAAGCTGTCCCCCCTTTCCTTCCTTCCATGGGACCACACGGATTCTTGAACTTGGTCTGGATGTTGCTGTCTACCAAGTGAATTAACAGAAAAAAAAAGGAAATTGCATCATATTCGCACAATGAAACTGTTTAATTTTTTGTATTCTAGGATGGATTCACTTGTAGATTTTTAAAAAAAATAACTGGATTGTCTTTATACACAAAAAAGCAC